CTAGATTGCAAATGATTGCATGGAAATAGTCAAATAGAAAAACAAAAAAGGAACCTCCATCAGAATAAAAATACTTTCAAAATGGCAATGTGAAATAACAGATCTCAAAATGGCAATGAGAAGTAATCTCACCATAGCAATGTGAAATAACTGAATTCATTTTTACCGTTACTTCTGGGTTATGAATATAGGAAGACATTGCATCAACAAGCTCTCCAAGATTGTGTGGAGGGGTATTTGAGGCCATGCACACCTGAAAGCATAAAGAATGGAAACAATCGCATGACAAAGGGATACGTAAACTGGTATAGAAATGCATAGAAGATAAAATCAATTAACTATTTTCTAGGTCAGACCGATTACCGCAATTCCAGGCGCACCATTCAGGAGCAGATTCAAGATTCTAGCAGGGAGTAGAGATGGCTCTTTTTGTGATTTGTCAAAATTTGGGACAAAATTAACCTGTAAACCATCATTTCATAAGTGACTAACTCAGAAGTAAGAAACTTATAATTAACATGTAATGTAGATGACATACTGCATTTTGATCTATGTCTGAGAGCGGCATGAAACCATTTATTAGCATCGTCAGCAACGAAAACCATGGGTTTCAGTTTACCAACTAGTAAACATGCCCTTTTGAAATGAAGGCGTTATTTGATTTAATATGGATATCAGAATAAGAATATAAAACTTACAAAAGATAATGGGTATTGGCAAAAGAGGCTTTACCCATCAGCATAAAGCATAAATGGCCATTAAAATTAATCTTAACAAAATATTACATGTGTTTTTGTTTCATTCCCCTCCCTCTCTTCAGGAAGCAGCCATTGTGATACCAAGACGAAGCACGTCTCGTACAGACCTCAGGGATCCAAAAGTTGTTATGTACCTAAAATTAGGGGTCAAGCTACGTACATCCAACCCCCCCCCCCACCCAGCCATGAGCGGGAGCCTTTGACCACTGGGGTAATGTTGTTTTTGTTGTATGTAAACTGCAATGAAACAAACAAAGTGGGAGAGAGGAAGTTGTTTGCCACTAGGATTCAAATTCTGGAGAGCAAAATTAAGAATTGATTATACTCAGTATATAAGAAATATACAACACCAACTGATTTTAGCTAATTGTAAGAATATGAATCCTGGAATAAGCAGAAAAATTGAAACCGGATGAGCTTTTATTATGCAAGAATGCAAGTGATAAACCTTTTTTGCTCATAGCATAATCTTTATCACATTTCATGCAATAGGATTGTGTCGGCCAATGGAGAAAAAATCTTACCCAATCATGTTGACCCTGAAACTAGACTGCAGAGCAGTATGACGATAGAGATTATTCAATAGAATAGATGAATCTGATCCACAATTAAGTTGGAAAATATTAGAGGGAAGGAATAATATCATCATGACATCTTACGACCCAAACATGGAAATTGATTCATTCTACATAAATTCAACTAGTACCCAATGACACCGCGCATTCCTGATCAATCGCTCTCATCTCGAATATCATTTATCCCTTCCAAACTCTGAGAGAGAAAAGTTAGGGAAATTTACAAACAATTGTAACATTCCATAATCATATACAAGTAAGTGATTGAGCAAAGTCGAGAAATATCAGAGATTACAAAGCCAATTAGCCGAACATCACAAAACTGAAGAATTAAAATTCAGGAAATATGGAAACAAGATTATTGTTTATTATTTAAAAAATAAGGATACAAGAATAATCAACTCTGATCCATCCAAAACAAGAAAATTACCCAATAAAAACAGTAAATGAATCTGTCAAGGCAATGGATCATGATCAGCTTAATCAGATCAATAATCAAAACAGTCATGCCACCTATGGCTGAAACAATATTTTCTAATGGTAGTATTTTAATTCATAAACAGACACATGACACTCGAGTTTTAAGGGAAAAAATGCATACATGATTATAATTTGAAATGAGAACAAAAAAATTTAATTAAGTAAACATTGGATTCAATTCCTTGGTGAGATGGAAAACCAGATTTAGCAATAAGGCCAATAACATCATAAAATTAGATGATATTCTTGTTTACGTCTAAGCATTGAAAAACCAAACCGATCCAACCATCCAAACTAAAAGTCACCCGGTTTAACCCAATTTTCAACCAGTTCAATTGGTTCAAAACCACCTCCCCATTCCACCTGTTTTAAGGGCTCAGCAGACCTGATAACTAGAAATTTCTATGTCTGCACAATCTGAGGAATCAGTCCAGTTTAAAACACCATAAACTTTATCCAGTTTGCCATGGCAGTTCTAGAGATATTAAGGTTTAACACCAAGGCAATGGCAGAAAACAATAAAGATCAAGCTTGGCCTAGGAAGTGCAGCATTATCAATGACCATAATGACAAAAATTATTAATACAAAAGATTATCAGAAAAAAGAATGAAATAAAGAGAAAGCATGATGAAGAGGTAACACATACGTGTCAATGTAGGAGAAATGGCCTTCTTCAGGTTGAGTTATTACATGTTTTGGGTTAAAAATCAAGACCACTGTTACAATACTAGATAATGCTCCGAGTTGGATCTGGATTAATAATGCAAAAACGTATCTGCTTTTCTTTTTTGGGGAAAAAAGGAGACTGCTAAATTGCAAATGATTGCATGGAAATAGTCAAATAGAAAAACAAAAAAGGAACCTCCATCAGAATAAAAATACTTTCAAAATGGCAATGTGAAATAACAGATCTCAAAATGGCAATGAGAAGTAATCTCACCATAGCAATGTGAAATAACTGAATTCATTTTTACCGTTACTTCTGGGTTATGAATATAGGAAGACATTGCATCAACAAGCTCTCCAAGATTGTGTGGAGGGGTANAAGGAACCTCCATCAGAATAAAAATACTTTCAAAATGGCAATGTGAAATAACAGATCTCAAAATGGCAATGAGAAGTAATCTCACCATAGCAATGTGAAATAACTGAATTCATTTTTACCGTTACTTCTGGGTTATGAATATAGGAAGACATTGCATCAACAAGCTCTCCAAGATTGTGTGGAGGGGTATTTGAGGCCATGCACACCTGAAAGCATAAAGAATGGAAACAATTGCATGACAAAGGGATACGTAAACTGGTATAGAAATGCATAGAAGATAAAATCAATTAACTATTTTCTAGGTCACACCGATTACCGCAATTCCAGGCGCACCATTCAGGAGCAGATTCAAGATTCTAGCAAGGAGTAGAGATGGCTCTTTTTGTGATTTGTCAAAATTTGGGACAAAATTAACCTGTAAATCATCATTTCATATGTGACTAACTCAGAAGTAAGAAACATATAATTAACCTGTATTGTAGATGACATACTGCATTTTGATCTATGTCTGAGAGCGGCATTGCCTCTGTAAGTTCCTGAAAAAGAAACCATTTATTAGCATCGTCAGCAACGAAAACCATGGGTTTACAGTTTACCAACTAGTAAACATGCCCTTTTGAAATGAAGGCGTTATTTGATTTAATATGGATATTAGAATTAGAATATAAAACTTACAAAAGATAATGGGTATTGGCAAAAGAGGCTTTACCCATCAGCATAAAGCATAAATGGCCATTAACATTAATTTTAACAAAATATTACATTTGTTTTTGTTTTATTCCCCTCCCTCTCTTCAGGAAGCAGCCATTGTGATACCAAGACGAAGCACGTCTCGTATTGACCTCAGGGATCCAAAAGTTATTATGTACCTAAAATTAGGGGTCAAGCTACGTACATCCAACCCCCCACCCACCCAGCCATGAGCGGGAGCCTTTGACCACTAGGGTAATGTTGTTTTTGTTGTATGTAAACTGCAATGAAACAAACAAAGTGGGAGAGAGGAAGTTGTTTGCCACTAGGATTCAAATTCTGGAGAGCAAAATTAAGAATTGATTATACTCAGTATATAAGAAATATACAGCACCAACTGATTTTAGCTAATTGTAAGAATCTGAATCCTGGAATAAGCAGAAAAATTGAAACCGGATGAGCTTTTATTATGCAAGAATGCAAGTGATAAACCTTTTTTGCTCATAGCATAATCTTTTTCACATTTCATGCAATAAGATTGTGTCGGCCAATGGAGAAAAAATCTTACCCAATCATGTTGAGCCTGAAACTAGACTGCAGGGCAGTATGACGATAGAGATTGTTCAATGCAATAGATGAATCTGATCCACAATTAAGTTGGAAAATATTAGAGGGAAGGAATAATATCATCATGACATCTTACGACCCAAACATGGAAATTGATTCATTCTACATAAATTCAACTAGTACCCCAATGACAACGTGCATTCCTGATCGATCGTTCTCATCTCGAATATCATTTATCCCTTCCAAACTCTGAGAGAGAAAAGTTAGGGAAATTTACAAACAATTGTAACATTCCATAATCATATACAAATAAGTGATTGAGCAAAGTCGAGAAATCTCAGAGATTACTAAGACAATTAGCCGAACATCACAAAAGTGAAGAATTAAAATTCAGGAAATATGGAAACAAGATCATTGTTTATTATTTAAAAAATAAGGATACAAGAATAATCAACTCTGATCCATCCAAAACCAGAAAATTACCCAATAAAAATAGTAAAAGATGAGGAAGTGTCCTTTAATGCAATTCTGGGGACGCCAATGTCCGCCACAATGAAATTAAGTGGAAAAGTTCATGGACATGAAGTTTTCTTGTTAATTGATAGCGGTCGACACACAACTTCATCTCTGAAAAACTTGTGCAGCAACTTAAGGTACTTGTTTCCATTGTTCACACATTTGGGGTACAGATAGGAGACGGTTTTATTATTCAGTGTGACCAGATTTGCGAGTCTCTCAGTTAAGCTTCCAGGTTTGACTCTTACAAATATTTTTACCCATTTCCAATAGCTGGATCTGATATGGTTCTAGAAATCAAATGGTTAGCCTCTTTGAATATCATTCAAGCAAATTGGAATGAAATGTTTTTTATTTATTGGGTTGATAGAAAGCGATATAAATTACAAGGCATCTCGAAAGTTGATCAAAGCATTAGGAGTAGAGGAAAAATCACCTTTGAATCTGGACGACTTAATGCAACACCAACATCCAGACTTCCACCTTGAGAACAAGATATCTTTCAGAGAGGTGTGTAATGATAAGATCCGGATCACTGATAGCAGAAGGCCACCTTAATTATAATATTATGTGTGGGTTAATTAAGTTTGTTACTGTTTTATAATCTATTAAATAAAAGGACTCTCAGGTTTCCATTTCCAACTACTCAAAATTCAGCAGAGTTGAAGAAGGAGAAGATAAAATTTGAAGTTTCCATTGTAGAATATGAAGCAATTAGATTATGAAATCACCTTAGCCGCAGCAGAGAGTTGCCCACAAGAGAAGTTGAGTCAAAGATTGAGAGAAGCTACGCTGAAGATTAAATGGAGAGAAAGAAGTTCAGTTGTGTGCTGCAATGAAGAGAGAAGCTACACGCCTGCGCTAAAGTTGGAGAGGCGGGGAAGTTAACCAAAGTTGGCAAAAACTCGAACAACTACCCTGACCTACTTCGGAAGCCAACACGCCGGAAAAGTTATTTGATAATCTCTCATCTCTTAAAACCTGACTCTCTAATGTGTGTGGGCCCTGCATATGTGAAACATGCTTGAATGACGAGGAACCCACATTAGTACTATGATCATTTGGGCTTTGGCCCTCCAAACTGATCAACACGAGTGCCTAATCATGGACCACTTCAGTCCTCTGTTGTAATCATCACTATAGTTTTAAGACTCTGTAATCAGTCCATGGGACTGACAATGCTGAAGTTGAAGGTTTTTAAGGGGGTCCAAGATTGTTTTTATTGAGAAACTGAGAAGGGATATCACAACTTTCAATTCGGTTTCGCACAAACAATGCTAAAGTTAGTGTTATTACCCTTAGTCCAGAATATACCAGGGAAATGGGGAATTAAAAATGATCAAGAAAGATGAAAAACGGAAATCTTATTCTTCTGGAATCTTATTGTTCGCACAAACAATGATAATGTTAGTGTTATTGCCCTTAGTCCAGCATGACCAGGGAAATGGGGAATCAAGAATGATCAAGAAAAATGGAAAACAAAAATCTTTTTGTTCTGGAATCATGTGCAACAAGAAAGTATGAAAACTTTTCAAAAGTGTAGAATGTGCAAAACGCTTCTTGAAACCAAACATGTATGACAAATGGATATTAACTAGATGACTCTCATAGTCGCATTCGTATTCATCATCCGAGAACTGCTCGATTGCGTAGCTACGAAACCGGCGTTCCCGATGTCAGGAAACGCCATAGTGGGAACGGCATAAATTCACATCTTCGCCTGAAAGTAAAGCACGCCGACAGGTACGTGAACCAACTGATCGAAATTCGTGGCTAGCAGAGTACGACAAGATGTGGGAGAACCGTGTGGACGAACAGGTGTATGCCAAGAGAAACCCTATCCTGGATTGCATTCTTATGCACACGACGGCTATTACAGCTAAGAATTTTGTCAGAGGAGAATTTTATGAAGGATGCAAGTACCGGCTGATTCGGCCAATGTATAGGTTAGTAAATGTTGTTTCAAGTTGACTTGGCACGCTTATTAAAGAATAGTAAAAAAATGTAAAATTTTCAAAAATGCACATACTATAAACTTTTAAATCTCCTTTTGTTATTAAAAAAGTATTTAAAAAGTAGATTTGTGATAAAATAGAAGGGTATTATTGATATTTAGCCTTAAAAAGCATACTAAAAAAGGAAATGGGAAAATTATTTCCGGACGGACCAAAAAGGAAAATGGGAAGAATATTTCCGGACAGAGGGAGTATATGGTATACCAAAGTTCTACCTCATCCCATTTGTATCTCACCTCCTTTTCCACCATATATTTTTATTTCATTTTTAATTATTTATTTATTTTTAAGTTTTTTGCTTATTTATATGGTGGAGGAGGGGGTGGGGTATACCCCTAGCATTTTTCTTATCCATCAGCTTCTCCCAAAACCAAAATATCATTCCCAAGGCGAATCTTTTACTCCCTATATTCTAAAATTAACTTTACACTTTTCTTTTTAGATTGTCCTAAAACTAACTTCTCATTTTCCTAAATGGCAACTAAACCAAGAGTAATTGTCTCTTTTGCCTTTTAGAATTTTACTCTCCCCATTTCTCTTTTCTTCATCCTCAAACTCTCTACAGTGTCTTCATCATCTTTCTCTTTTGTTGGCCCGATATGGTGAAAGTATATGAGGCGATGATTTGAGCTTTTTGTTGATTGACGATTTCCGAAGCTCCGGTGAGCAAAGTCTCTATTGGAGTGAGCGTTGACGACATTTTTCATTTCTTATTTTAGATTTTATTTGAGATTCATGTTTCTTTTAGAATGTGATTTTATTGATGTTGTAATTGCTTTTAAAAATCATTTTAGATTTTTTGTTTCTTTCATTATGTGATTTCATGATTATAGGACTAAATTTTTGTGGATGAATATGTGAGACACCAGATAATTTAATCCAAGGTGTCTTTGTTCATAGTCAATCCGAGAAGATATTGTTCGGTTGAGTAGTAGAAGGGGTATTTTGGGAAAGTCAAAACATTTTTTCCACTTTCTTAAAAATGAGCTCCGGTCAAATCGGGAAGTTAAATATATGACGGAGGGAGTACTATACAAAGGTATACAAAGGTAAGGAAAATCTGTAAAAACTCTCGCCCAAAAAAATCAGATACAATACTAGGTCGGGTCTCTCTATTCGGGTACGCTTGACACATCAGTCATTTTTGGGAAAAATCTCACTCCGATATTAAATGGGATGGCCCAATGGACGATGTCACCTTGGGTGTTTAAAAAGCAAAAAAACTCTTTCTCTTTTATATTCAATCCTCGCCTCCCCCATCTATTTCAATATCCAAAAAATAACAATCAAATATTTCTCCTTTTTCATTAATGGTGGGCGTGGTCCGTGATACTCTTGGAACCTATCATGGACCGCTATTAATTAAACGGTTCGGTATCGGTACGGGATGAACTCCAAAACCATTCGATACCATTCCGTTTTGAAACGGAATGGTACAATATCATACCCATGCTCAAACCGTGCCAAAAAAAATGAATGTACATTATTTAAAAAATATTGAATTTAATGTATAAATTTGTATAAAAAAGTACAAGAACGTTAAATAAAAGTATTGACTTCAAATTTAAACAGATCATTAACATAAACAATAAAAGATAATGAGTCCAAAGTTAAAAAATATTTGAATAAATTCTCAAAATAGTCCTTTGGAATAAGGGATTTTCCCAAATTAGTCCTCAATAAGTTTTAATTACCTACGTGGTCCTTTACAATTGAGATTTATTCCCAAAACAGTCATTTGTAATAAAGTATTTCCCCAAATCAGTCCTCAATAAGTCCTCTATAATTGAGATTTATTCCCAAGATGGTCATTCGTAAATAATGTTTCTCAAATGAGGATTAATTGAGAGTACGTTTTCTCTGCTAAATTTAGAATCAATTCTTAAAATAATCATTTATAATGAAGTGCTTTCCCAAAATGATATTTCTAATTAAAGATGTGTATTTGATTTGAAATTTAAAAGATTTTTTTAAGTTTTATAAATGTATTTTGTTTATCTCTAAGTAATAAGCTATTTTCCCAAATCAGTCCTCAAATGAGGATTAATTGGGAGATATTTTGGAATTTTGATCATCCGAATTTAAAGTATATTCTCGAAACAATCATTTCTGTACAAATAAATGTAAAATTTAAATAATATATTGACTATAAGTAATTTATGAATTATTTAAAACTTAAAAAAATCTTTTAAATTTCAAATCAAATACACATCTTTAATTAGAAAAACCATTTTGGGAAAGCACTTCATTATAAATGATTATTTTAAGAATTAATTCTAAATTTAGCGGATAAAAAATACCCTAAATTAATTCTCATTTGAGTAATATTATTTACGAAGGACCATCTTGGGAATAAATCTCAATTATAGAGGACCACGTAGATAATTAAAACTCATTGAGGACTGATTTGGAAAAATACCTTATTACAAAGGACTATTTTGAGAATAAATCTCAATTATAGAGGACCACGTAGGTAATTAAAACTTATTGAGGACTAATTTGGGAAAACCCCTTATTACAAAGGACTATTTTGAGAATTTACTCAAAATATTTTTTTCCCAATTCATATAATATCGAAATACTAATAGCTATAAAAAAATAATGCCAATAGTAATGATAAATATAATAACAACAATAGTGATGAGAGAGTTTAAAAGTGAATAAATAAAATATGATGTACTCTATACACGGTAAGATGAAATTGACAAATATTCCATAATTATTTGAGATACATACTCCGTATATAGTGTTGGACGGTTCAGTCTGTGAGAAATGGGTTTAAATATTTTGTATCACGATCCCGTCCCATTTGGTATCGGTTCGGTTTCGGTTCGTGATGAAAAAAATCAATCCCCTTTGAAAACACTATAAACGGTTCTGTACCATTACGGTCCGTTATGGTATGCTAGTTTGGCTTCCCAACAGGTTTCCAATTCTTTATGGACCAGACTTGCTAATATTAAGAGGAGGAGTAACTCTCTTGCCATTCCAGTCCGGATAGTTCGTGTATATCAAATTGCTTCATTTGGTAGAAATGGAGCATCCATGGAGGTCGTTTTCCATGACGATGAGGTGTATTTTTTTATTGTCTATTATTCGAATTATTTTTTTGAGTTTTCTTCTGATTTCATCTAGGGGTGGACACGCTACGGTTCCGGGACGGTCCCGGTTCCGGAACTGCCGGTTCCGGTACCGCCACCCTATGGTACTAGTACCGTGACCGGATCGGGCGGTACCGGACTGGCCGGTTTCGGCCACCCCCCAATATTTTTTTTTTTTTGCTTTTTTTAAAAATTTTTAAAGTGTAAAATTATAAATATGTAATTGTTAAAGGAAAGAATGAAATAAAAAATCTAAAATGTAGTTGTTATTTAAATATTGTAAAATGAGTAATACACGAACTAAAAAACAACTACGTTTAATATTCTGACGGCTCAAACAAAGCGACGAGGTAAAGAACCGTAAAGAAACCCTCAAAATTGATACCGGGACGGACAAGACTTGTCTTGCTAGCATTCCGATACTTGGGGACATGTGTTCGTTGTGCGAGCTTACTGTTGTACCACCTATCGTCGAAGGTTGAGCATGCTTCCCTTTCTTTGCAAGAAGCCCACCGACGATTCCTTTAAAACCTTTTTTTGATTTGGGAGGTGGAGGAGGTGTCGTTTCTTCCGGTACAATACCGTATATCCCTTGAAATTCCTTAAATAAAGCCTTAAAAAGAGTAATAGCATTATCTCTTTCATTTTTCGCATTCTATTAAATGGCTTTAGTAATAATTATTTTTATCTAAAAAACAACTGTAGTAATAGTCAATTAAAATTTTATAATTTTCAATCTTAAAGCGTGGATCACAAATAATACCTATTTTATAAATATCAGGAATGTACAAATAATAAGCACAGCGTTTTTCTTTCATAGTCTGCACATAAGGGTACAAATCTCGATCAGTCAAACTTTCATGAAAAAATGTTGCAATTATAATGTACTCTTTAAAAAAACTATTTGTAGTGGGTTGGTAAACATGCGAAAAAGTAAGAGTTGCATTATTAAAAACTTCTAATACGGCATTCAATTTTTCAACAATAACAAATTCATTAGGTGAAATAATTAAAAGATGTGTTTCCCTAAAAAATTCAGCAAGTTCCTCTTTATAGCTTAGAATATGCGCTATCAACTTGTATGCACTATTCCATCTAATAGTGATATCCTTGGCAAATGGTATTTGTCTTCTACCCTTAGACTTACAGAATAACTTCCAGGAATTCAAATGAAGACGACTACCCCAAATCTTTCTAATTCCATCTTTAATATTTATCAAACCCCACCCCCATTACTTCTAATCCCTGTTGAACACACAAATTTAAAACATGACAAGCACACCTTTGATGCAAAAATCTACCCATACTCGTAGTAGGGGGGCATATTTCTTTAAGTCTCGGAATAGCAGCAATATTATTAGTAGCATTATCAAAACCAAATGCAAACACTTTATCAACTACATTGTATTCTCAAAGAATACACTAAAGCAATAGAAAAATATTTTCAGCAGTATGTTGATCATTGAAATCACAAAATACAAGAACACATTTATGTATAATCCAATCAGTATCTATCCAATGACAAGTAACACCCATATAAGACAAGTTATGATATGCTTCACCCCAAATATCAGAATAAATAGTAACACAAGAATTAAAATTGAAAAAAATTTGCCATATTTGTTTTTTCAAGTTTATACTATCAAATAATTTCTCGTTTAATTGTTTTTCTTGAAAAATTTCTTGCTTGAGGGTTTAATGTCTGTTGATAATAATCAATAAATCTAAGTTTTTCAGAAAACAAGTATGGCAAATTTTCTTCACAAATCATTTAATCCATTTTTTGCTTATTTTGTTCATCGCTATAAGCAAAAAGACCGCCCTTATCCCTGTTAGCGAACCGAGAACTTTGGGTTTGCACCTCTTGTCGACCCTTTTTTCGCTGCGTATTTGGCGTACTTCACGGGATGCCTCGACCTTAGGTGTTTTTCTGGACCACCATAGCCTCCGGAAACTACCATTTTAATGACGGTGGCACAATAATTACAAGTTTCATAAACTATGCCAACTTTTGTTTCTTTTGAAAAATGATAAAGCCGTGTTAGTTTTTTATGTCAGGTTTTGATAATGCCGAACCGTCGTGAACAAGAAAACACATTGTACATACAAGGCGAAGAACAAAGATAAGAACAAGAGCTAAAAGAAGACCAAGAACAAAGACCAGAGTCTTAGTGTCATTGAGTCGGTCACAATTGTAATCAAGACTGACCCAATCTTTACACTTTGGCTCTTTAGGCTAAAATATTTTATCACATCATAAAAATATCTTTCAAACATGTTTTATACATCAAAAACACTTGGTGTTCAGGAGGAACTTCGGAAGTTTTAGGAGAGGTAAATAATCAATTTACAAGAAGTGACAATCAACTATTGAAGGCTGCAGATTTCAAGGGAAGAGTGATAGTCGATTTTCTAGAAAGGATAATCGATTATTGATCCCTGCAAGTGTTTCAGAAGAGGATTGATAATCGATTGTTAACAAGGATAATCAATTATTTTGACAGATTTCTGGGAACGAAATGATGGTGTTTGTGTAGGGAATGCTTATGAACTTGATGGTCACCGAATTGGACATAATGGGCCTGTTTGGGAATAGCGTTGGAGATTAGCGTTAGCGTTTTGGATAAAATTTTAACGGTCTAGATTACTTTGAAAATGCTAACGCTAAACGCTGCCCGTAGATAGCCTTTTCAAAACGCTAACGCTATTTCCAAACAGGCCCAATGTCTTTAAGGATTGTCTTTGCTGCAACCTCCAATCTTTATGTACATAAGAGTGCACTACTGTACCTTCCTAGAGGTGTGAGAATGCATATGAACTTGAGCTTTGCACACACATAAAGACAATTTAAAGCATGAAAAATTAAAAGCAAATCAATGTATCAAATAGAATACACAAGTAAGATGCTTGGGCAGGCAGCAGTATGAAGGACTGAGCTGAAACAGAGATTGAGCAATAATTAAGCACAAGTGGCTACAAAAGGTTTAGTGAAATAATACTCGCATACTTTCAAAGAGGGTTAATGACAATATATCATTTGTGTGCCTATGGTAATCTAGTATATGGTTTCAAAGACATGTAATGCCAAATGAATAAGGTGTACTCATATAGGATATTTTTATTTAAAAAAATCTAAATGCATCAAAGTCCAACATAACCTCAACAAATCCAAATTTAAGTTTGTTTAATTATTATAAAGTAAGTATAGACCAACAAAACAAAAAACCTAGTTAGGCCCCTTATTTGGCTTCTCAGATAGTTTTTACAAAACAATAGCTTAACTTAAAGTGCTTGGTAATCTGTTAGTAATAGGAATTGCAAATCTTAATATGGCACCCAATATAACAAAACCTTTAGTGCAAATATGGCACCCAATATAACAAAACCTTTAGTGCAAATATGGCACCCAATATAACAAAGCTCGTGAGTATACACCTGCCCAATACAAAACCTTTAGTGCAAATATGGCACCCAAAATCAAACGCTAAACTGTTTTATCACAGTAACGCATGGTAGAAAGAATTTTGAATTGATTATGAAAAGACCTAGCTGTGTAGTCCATGGGTGGGCACAACCAATTTCAATAACCTAAACAAAATTAAAAGTATGAAAGTAAAGGTTGTAAATAATGAAGAAGAAGATGAAACCACCATTAATTGGAATCAATAGATTTGTTCCCCACCTAAGGCATCCAGTAGAAGCCTACGTCCTCCGTAAACTGCAACTCTACTTCGATGGCCCTTTATTCATTGATGCCAGAATCTAGCTATGATGAGGATTAGAAGAGAAAATTTTGTTGTGCGTTGTGCGGCATAGAGTGCGCGTGAATTGGTGGCAAGAACAGAATTGATTGCCGGAATCTAGCCACAATGAAGATCAAAAGAAATCCTGATTTGCGCAGGTGAAAACAAAATTGATTGCCGGAATCTAGCCACGATGACGATCGAAAGAAATTCTGGTTTGCATAGAGAGGAAATTGGTGGAGAGATGTGAATAGAGACATAGTGGGTGGATGGTTGCCACAGTATAAAGATCGTGAATCTAGACATCGTGTGTTGACGGTTGCCACAAAATTTGAGCGGGATAATTTTCCTGCTGTTGTAAATAGGAGGATAGAGATAGAGATTCGATTTGCATCCAAAATATTGTCAAACCATTTTTCGGATGAAGGGTATGTGAACATGAATTCATTTTGATGGTCTATTTTCAAAACAACTCCATTGGACATGCTTTGATTCACAATAAATATGCCAATAATGGAGAGAGAGTTGTGTGGTTTTGATGCTTCCTGAGTGATTCATGCTTCGTAGTGGACAAGGCGGCTGATCTTTGGAAATTTCACACGTTTGTCCCTGATTGGGACTAAAATGGTCCCAATCGAGGTATACTTTTTGGTCCAACTTTCTCCAAATTGAAATCTGATTATACCATTGTGGTCAGACAGTCAAGCTCTACGTGACAATATAATTTTCACATTATTTAAAAATACTTTTATGACACCATATTTTAGGGTGTTGACTTTAGCAGAGTCAACATTCAATTAATTGACATATAATCAAAAGTACTTTCATATTTATTCAATATTATTCAATTTGAACAATTTATTTCAATAAATCATTCTACAAAAGTTCACATATTTGATCATTTTTCATTTTTATGCAAATTACATATTTAAAATGTCATAACTGAAAATCTATACATCAGATTTATTCATAAAATATACCGTTGGATTCGTCTCTTTGAGACCTATTGATAAAAGTCAATCTTAACAAAAAATCATTGACTCCATTTTTTGAGTTCAATTATGCAATAGCGGTAGCATTTTACTACGTAACGGTAGCATGCTATTGTCTGACGGTAGCGACCTACCGTTAGTTGCGATAACATCATGTGCATGTTCACACTCGGAAAAACTCCATTTTTGAGTTCAATTATGCAATAACAAGCTTATATAAACCCTTAAAAACATTTATGAATTATATAAACAACCAATTGCACATATAACGCCTAATTATGCGTTCTACCCGTTTGAATCAGCAATAACCCAAATTTTCCCTAAATCATCAAATTTGCAAACAAATCAACCATACAAGATTATGAACGTAAATTTCAAACATATATGTATAATCTAGCATCAGATGTCCACTGTGAATTCTTTTGTTGTGCGATGGTACCACTCAGCTTCATTACTGAGTGTGTAGACTTTTTCATCTTTTTACACGTGGGTATAAAAGAGAAAAAATGTAGACTCCATCTTGGAGGGTAATGAGATGGAGGCGATTCGTGGGAGTGCACAAACTTATTATTTGAGTACATAATTTTATCACCTGTTAAATTATAGATTGACCATACTGTTGCAATTTGTAAATCGCTCCCCCCTGTTTTAAAAAATTATACTCAGATGTTATTCAAAAATATTTTAGTTAGTTGTGTTAAATAAAGTTTTAAATATTTTAAATTGTGATATTACCAAATTAATACTTTAGTCCGAAAGAGGTTACATACATAGATAGATTAGGATGTTACAAATTGGACTGGAAACCACCTTCACCCGCCATTGTGTGACAATGATTAGTCGACGTCAGAGCTGAGGAGTGCCTTCAGCTATGCGTCCAGTCTTCGACCAAAGAGCAGAGAGCGTATAACAGTGAACGTAATCTTCCAGTCCGAGAACCAGGAACCGCCCCTCTGTTCCATTTAATTCGATTGAGGAAGAAGAGCTCTAGCCCAAACTAGTACCTTGTCCTCCGTCCCTCTTATGGATGAGAAATCCCTAGCTGTAGCAAGCGCTACTCTGGTCGGGTCAGAGAAGAAAGAGAGTTTGGCTGCTCAGGTTTCACCTACTTATTGCTGGTGTGAGCTCTATTTTGCTTGAGAATGAATGCTAAGTTATTTGAGAATGCTTACTACTTTGTTTTAGAATGAACACTACGTTATTTGTAAATGAAAATTATAATTGTATTGAACAAATGTGTGAAAATGAACATTACATTAATTATTTCGAATTAGTATTACGTTATTTCACAATGAATGCTACTTACCTTTTAAATGAACAGTTATATTTTGTGCGATAATGAGTATCTCTCTCTTTTCACAAAATTCTTCCGCCTTAACTTTTTGTGCATCCCATTAAATACTTGTACTCCCAACTAAAGTATCTAAAATATACTCCCTCCATCCCACTGTCTTTGTCCACTTACCTTTTGGCACACCATCCAATGCACTTCTTTAATCCATTTTATCTTGTAATTTGTATATTAAAAAATTATAGAAATTATATATTAATAATCTATATGTTAAGACGAATCAAACAAGATCACACATGACTATTTTTAGGCTTACACATTGAGAGAATTTGATGAGTCAAAGTGCTTAGATGAACAGTTTCAAAAGTCAAATGTGGACAAAGACAGTGAGACGGAGGTAGTATCTCATTATGTTGTTTATTGCAGGTAGACGTTATTTTGAAAATATTTTAAATATTTTAGGGGGCTAGAAGTATTTTATAAAGAAGGTAAAAAATTAGGCGAATGTGTTTTAGAGCATGAACAAAGCCAAGGAAAAAAAAGAATGCCACACGCTGACATGGCAAAAATCAACCAATAAAAAATGGTCCAGTCAGAGAGTGGCAAGTGAGTGGAGTGGCGCACCCTACAGTGGCAAGTCGTTACTTTTATCACTTTTTAAAATTTTTGTAATGTATTTTAATTATTAAAAATAGTTTTTGCTATTTCTCTCATTAAAAAAATACTTCTACTTCATTACAAAAAAAAGTTTTTTTTTATCAAAAAAAAAATAAAAAAAGAAAAAAAAAGAAAAAGAGGCGTGGGAATGGGTGGAATGCCTTGCAATTGACTTGCTCACCGTGGGGGAATGGTCTTTTTCTCCATGCTTAAGAACACGGGTAATGACAAGTAACGAAATGGAATGTCACACGTTGACGTGGCACATTTCAACCAATAAAAGACAATCGAGTCAGCGTGTGGCAAGTGAGTGGAGACTGGAGAGGCATCTCGTACAGTGGCAAGTCATTGTTTTTTTCAATTTTTATGATTTTTTAAAGTATTTTAATTATTAAAAATTATTTCATTTATCTTTTTTATATTGAAAAAAAAATTGAGGATGCCTCGCGCCTCACACGCTTAGCGTGAAGGGAGGCTGAGCCACGCGAGGCAAAAGTGGCGAGGGAGCTGATGTGGCACAGCGAGCGAGGAAATGCCTGCTCTAAGCATGGCAAAAAAAATTTGGGAGCTGATGTGGCAAGCATGGCAGGCATTTTTGCCTCGCCCGGCTGCCACTGCTCTTATGAATAGGAGAAATTATTTTACTCCAAATGAGTAATGACAAATGATCGTACATATCCTTTTGATGGTTGGAGAGAGAGTCCTCACCACCAAATGGCCTCGAGACTCTCAACTATATCTTCCTCCACACTGATACGTCGCCCGTTGCCCTTAGTCGGAGCGTTCTGTGTGCTGACTTTCGGTCTCTCCAATCTTTCCGTCCCTTTCTCCAAAACAGGCTGCGTTCAGTCTCTCCCCTTTACCCCACTATTCAGGTAAACAAATTCCTTCATTTCTTTGCTTCTGTTCCTAAAAACCTTCAATCTTTCGTGTTTTGTAGTTAAATTGAGATCTGGGGTTTCGCTAATCTCTCTTGTGTTTCAGATCAGAACTCGGCGGGAGATCACAGAGCACTACTAGTGTTCATAGCTTAAGAATGGAAGCTAGCGATAACACTGTGCCTAGTATCGTGGTCTATGTTACTGTTCCTAACAAAGATGCTGGTTAGTTTCTGATCATCTTTTTTTATAATTTTGGTTTGATTATTTTGGTTGGTGGTGATACTAATTTAATACAGAGAAATTGATTTTACATGATTTCGTTTAGGATTTAAACAATAGGAATTAGGAACTACTCTATTAGATTTCTCATTTTGTGGTCAGTGCTTAATCCCAAATCCGAATAGACCATCACTTAGTAAACTCATTATTCAATAAATCGTAGCTGTGCCGGTGTAAAGGTTTAGTAATATGTAATTAGTTGTGTTATTGGCCCTATGCATTTTATACAACATTCAAAGTAATTTACCTCAAGGTTGGTGCGAATACAAAAGACACAGGTCTTCGCTTAGAAGAACTTAGTGTTCATTTAGATTTTTAGTTTGCATATTTAGACCTTGAATATTAAGAGCAAGATTTTACTCAGAATTTTTAAAGGTTCTTAGAAGTTTCCGAATAATCAATTGAGTAATTCACAATTTGTGCCCTTCAAATGGGAATAATTATGACTTTGTACTGTAAGAAACCAAAAGTTAATAAGTGCACCCTCAAAAATACTAAACACTCCGAAGTGCACCCTCACAAATATTAAAACTGACAAATTTTCAATCAAATTTTCTTCAACGCATATTTCTTCTCAGCACTCCTTTTACTTCCAAAATTTCAACCAAAACTAGTGCATTGCCACTGCAACAGAAAAGTTGAGTCTGACTCATGATTTTCATGGCATAAGAAGATTCTGTCATAGATTTTGGAGGGGAAGGGGATCGCTCAGGGCGAAAATATATGCTCTTCTGCCTGATCAGACATTTTTAATTTTCACATGAAATTAGACCAGAAATGTGCGTGCACTGTAGAGTGCATTACTATTTTTGACAGTGCACTTGCCAATTTTTTTCAGGGGGTGCAACACGATTAACAATTCCCTTTTTGGTGGTGCAAAGTGCGAATTGACATAATCAACTTGATGGGAGTTTTTGCAACTACTCTGTTCTTCTAATTTTCTTTCTATGTTCGTCATTTTTGTAGAGCAAGGTTGAGCACCATAATTTATAAACAAGCATCTCTGGCTAGATTTCCTCATGGAGGCAATTGTGTTTTCTATTATTTTTTGTTACCCTCTTGGATATTGCCCCCACACTTTTCAAAAAGGGGCAACATCTACACTTTTCAATGCAAAAATTTTCTAAGAGAGATGGGTAAGGCTAGGGGTGTAAACGGATATTAATCGGATCGGATGTGCCTTTACCAAATCCGTATCCGTTTATTTTTGTCGGATATCGAATTCGGATATGGATCTTGACGGATGCTGAAAAATCAAAACCGTATCCGCATCCGTCGGATATCGGTCGGATATATCCGTATCCGTTTCCAATTTTTTAAACCAAATCAAACAATACTTTAATTTTCAATTAAACTAAACCAAAATATTATTAAATCAATTATAATTTTTTATGGGATAATTATTTTCTTATTTTTTATAGTTTATGATATTCTACGATGATTTCATATCATAAAAAGATATACACAGTATATATATACACATATATTTTTCATATAAAAAAATCTTATACTTTGAGATATCAATAAGGAAACAAAATATAAAAATAAAAAATTAGGAAAAACTATATATAACGGATCGGATACACGGATAAACAGTTATTTAAACGGATGTCAATGCGGAGCGGATTATAAACGAATCGGATATGTGATTACCAAATCCGTATCCGTTTAGCAATCGGATGTCCTTAATCGGATACGGATAATAACCGCTTTTAACGGATGCAGATAGTTTCCATATAAACGGATATGGATGCGGACGGTAATCGAATTTTTGGTTATCCATTTACAGCCCTAGGTAAGGCATAGAGAAAATGTGGAGTAGCATGCATGGTCCAGAACATTAGGGACATTTCCAAGGGTACACTACAAGTGCCATTTGGGTGGATCCGGGACTAACATGAGTGTTGCCGTGTTGGTGGTGGAATGAAGATGTACAAGTTGATGTCAGTGCTAAACCGATGTGTTTTGAGGAGATCAGTGCTTCAGGATGGGAGATGGAGGGAAGAGTAGGTTTAAGGAAACATATAAGGATGCTATAAGAGGCGAAAATACATCCGTCCCACAAAGAAGATGTGTCAATGATGGGTAAGTAAGGGAAGCACTAAAGAAGTTGGAGTTACCTAAGGCAGCTCGCTCGAATTGGATCTAGATTGAGGCACCACCCACCGGTGCCTGGGGAGGAGGTAGAACAGTAGCGCGTAGACAACGTTAACTTCAACCTCTAAACAGCCGAGAAAACAGCAGAGAAGCGTGACAAGTGGAGGCTCATCGTGGTGGTGCTAATCTAGAAGTACAAAGGTGACACAAAGTTATGGTAACTATTGCTGCACAAAGCTACTCATCCACACTCTAGAACACTAATTGAGTAGTATGAGTACCAATTTGTTTTCTACAATAGATGGCATCCACCTTTGCACATCATAGTGAAATACAGAGGAGCTTATGCCGTATAGTGAAGACCTGTAAATTGTAATATAGATTGGAGAATGCTTTTACCACGCAAAGTGATTTAGAAGTGTTTGGAGGTTAGAGGGATGCCATAAGACTCATAACCCATCTATTCAAACATGAGGAGCTTGCGAGTTTGATTTATGGCTGAAGCATTTTAATTGACCAGCATCACCCGAAACCTGAAATGCTTCCGTGCATGATATTATAGGGATGACAATGCATAGGGTGCCCTACCAATTAATCAATTATGCATTTCCAGACTAAACATGTTTGAAAGTGTGTCCCAAACCTGTTTAATTTTAGAGCCCAAACCCACCCATCTCATACCATTTGCGAGAAACCCAAAGATCTCCCATTTAATGTTTTCATCTTGTCTTTTTTGGAAATTATTGTTTAACCTCATCCATATGTCTACAACCGAATGTTTCAAAAATTACACACGAGTCGATTGGGTATTTATATATTTCCTCATACCCATCCCGAATCCCATGAAGGTAGGAATGAATGCTACTCTAAAGCCCTAATATTATGAATAATTTTGACTACTGCTATTAGTTTTTAAAACAGGCCTCATTAGTGTGACATGATATGTGTCACATACACCCACCATTCTTGAGTAGACTTTTTTTATGAGTTGTGCTGTCAAGCTTATTCATTTCTTATTATGAGACATGCTTACATATGAGATGATGTTACACAACTTTCTGCTGTTTCTACTTGTTATTATTATTTATTTAATTTTTTTTTGCAGGTAAGAAATTGGCTGAGAGCATAGTCAAGGAGAAACTTGCTGCATGTGTTAATAGAGTACCAGGCAAGTGGTGCTCCTCCTAGCCTGGGTTAATAAATACTATGTACCGTGATTTTTTTCTTAAAACAAATTGATTATCTCTTCATTTTCGGAAAATGGATGGATTTACTGAGTAATTTGCTGGAAAGTGGAACATACATCAGAGAGAGCACATCATTTTATTTATTTTTTGCATGTTAGCATATCTTTGGTAGGGACAGTTCAAATCAGTTGTTTAAGTCATTTCTTGTACTTCGAGATCTTTCTTTTTGTAATTAAAATTTAAAAGTTACTCCCTCCGTCCCAAAACTAAAGTCACAAAATGGATTACAAGACAAAATTCCATACTTTTTGAAATCCTTTTATTTAAAAATTAGTATTGAAATAAAAATGAAACTTACATATTTAATAATTATGTCAGAAGTTCTAGAAAACAAGAGGTGACATGACTATATTAGCTTATCAAATGATCAATGAATAAACACATAAATAAACAAAAGTTATCGAGTGGCCAAAATACTGTGACTTCAGTTTTGGACGAAGGGAGTATTTCCTCATTTGTTGGAAATGCTTGATGGTGTAAAAGACATTTCTTTGCTCTGGTAATGGATAATGAGCATAATCTTTCTTTGATGTGTGTGTGTGTGTGTCTGAGCATCTGTATTCCCTCTTTACGGTCTCAACAATTCAGCTTTTGATTCTACAATACAGTACTAAACTAGCATAATATATTAAATTTATCTATAGCTTTGCTAGATCTCCAATAGCATAGTATATTAAATTAATCTTCTTATATTATTGATAAGAGTAACTCTGAGAAGCATCAAACTGTATTTTATGTGCAGGCGTTGAATCAGTTTATGAGTGGGATGGACAGGTAATGTCCCCTTTCATGATTCTGCACAAGTGAAACACCGTCCATTTATGGTTTTGTTTTCTAAGGAGTGTTTCCCATTCTCTGGTAGCAGATACAGAGTGATTCCGAAGAGCTGCTCATCATCAAAACTAGGAAATCCCTCTTGGAAGATCTCACCGCCCACGTCAAGGCCAACCATGAATATGAGTAAACCTTTTCTTCCATTTCTCTCTTGCCTCTATATTCCACAGTTATATTCAATGAACATATAAAGTTACTTTTCATAATCTCATCTTTGCTGCCATGGATCAACAATCACTGTAATGTTACACAAAGGATTATGGGCAGAAGTAGAGAACTATCTGATTTGGAATGTTGTTTGATGGTAATTATGGTTTGACCTTGTTTATGTACAGAGTTCCTGAAGTGATTGCATTGCCTATAGTTGGTGGCAGCACCCATTATCTGGAATGGATCAAGAACACTACTCGAGATAAGTGAGTGATTTGGCTTAATCATTAAGATGACGTTGTACACATTTACAACGGCCTTGTTTGGAACCTGACTATTGGCTGGTTTGAATGGCGAATTGAATTAGCTGTTTTGGCCGGCTGTTTGTGTTAGCTGTTAAAAATTAAATGTTTGGCAACTTTAGCTGTTTGTAAGTGAAATTACATATAAAGACATCCTTCCATTTATGTTAATTTGTGTGTGATTTTAATTTTTTTATATTGATAAAATACGCACATTATACAACCAAATATTCTATATCTATCTTTTTTTGGACAAAAAAGGCTTCTTCGTTTTTTAATAATTTAAGAAATGAAAATTTACATTTATATTTTATGAGTAGCTTTTTTTTGTATTTTTTTCATTTGTCATTCTACAAATCACAATCTGAAGTGTCAAACATTTTTTGAGATGACATGAGCATTAGAACTGACAAAAAATTAGACAATCTCTCAACTTTTTACTAAGGATATCTTCTCTCCATCAAATTAGAAGTAATGTTCTTACGGATGTTTTTCATTCTTTATCTCATTATTTGCAACATGGTTTTCAATATCTTCAAACACATCTACGAGTACAAAATTAAGGTCATCATCAACCAATTGAAAAGTCGGGTCACTAATTGTGCTCATTCAAATATAGTTGTGCAAAACAAAACACGAACAAATAATCATATTTCGATCCATTAATGAATATCTTAGCATTCTTTGGAATATCTTCCATCACGCCTTAGGAATACTAAAAATTCTCTCAATGCAACTTCTTAATGATGAATGCGTTCTATTAAAAACTTCTTGACTTCCTCTTGGGTTTGTGCCACGAAACTCAGACTGATGGTACCTTATTTTTCGATATGGAGTTAAATATCCCACTCTTTTAGGATATCCTTTATCCATCAAATAATACTTACCTAAAATTGCATACAATTCAAAAGTGTTGATTTAATTTGTGAATATAATGTTATAAAAAAATTATAATTACCTTGAGATGGATGTGGAAAATTGAGACTTGCATTGTTGATAGTGTCTAGAAAAATTCGAGAGCCCTCCCAACCGCTTAAAACGTATGTGAATAACATATCAAAGTCACACTGCTAATACATTTCTAGTTGGTATTCCCTTCCTTCCCTTGTAACGTAATTGATCGTCTTCAAGAGTAGTTATTGCGTTGTGAGTACCATCAATAGCTCCTATACCATTCTAATGAATACATAAAATCGATATTGTTAGTAGTTTAAATAGTCGCATTTATATTATAATATTATTATACTTTGAAATGTGGCATATATCTATCATCATTGGCAATTTGTGGTGAAATGCTCTTGAACTCGGGTCTTTAGGTGCAATTAGATCCCTTGAAAATCTATCCATTGCTTTCAAAATTTCTTTGAAAATTCTACTCACAGTTTCTCCAGAGTGTTGAAAATGCTCTTGTGTATCTCTATTAGAAGCACCCTTGCTCAATACAAATACAAAGAAAGCAACTTTCTCCAAAACGAATATCCTATTTGACAATTTTAAGACATACTTCACCTCTAATTGTTGACATAACTCACGAAATTTAACTTGGTTCATTCTCAGCGCATTAAAACATCGTTTGTCATGACCACTCAATAACTCATTTACCCATCATTCACCTGTTAAATAAGAAGTCATACAGCATTCTCTAGGTATATGATCCGCACAAACCCAACTCATTTAACCCGCTACACAAGAGATCATATCACATAACTCATCCTCTTGTTTTAAATATGCTAACAATAAGAGAAGTGTGCTTTTCATTTTTGTAGTGTCCATACCTACTCACAAAAAGGTGCTCGTTAAATGAACAACATTATTTCCATTGTACTCTATGCATAATATTACCAATAAAAAAAGAAATAGCATGACAAACTTTAGCATGTATTTAAAGTATTTTAGTACTATAAAAAAAGTTAAAAGTTCATATCGTACGACTCTAAAAAAAAATCGAATGAATGTAATTCAATACAAAACATAATATAACTTCAATTGGGACTCATTCCCTAGTGCTTGTACATAAACTTAATGTACTCAACTCGACTAGTATCATCGGGCAACAAAAAGGAAACTCTTCTTCGCTGTGGATCTTCAATCATGGAGCAAGCAAATAAAAACTTAGAAGATGTGTGTGACAAATTGGGCAAACAACAAAACTTTTCCATTGTTTCTCCAATATCAAACTTTGATATGTGAGCATTTGAAGTTGTTTTTATCATATCCTTCATCAAAGTAGTGACTTAATTGAGCGATTCATTTCGTTTCACAATTGCATCCATTATCCCACCAAACATTTCTTGAATGTGTTCATTTTTTTTCAGATTGCTTGTTCGTGCACTTTTATTGGGTTGCGATGATTCACCCTCAAAAGTCCTTTTTCCGTTTCTTGGCTCATCTTGCCCAACGGGTGAATTGTGATGTAGAAACTCACTCCATAACTCTTCCCATGAATCTTTTATAACATTCATTCTACCATCATTACTGTCGTTCTCACCAAAAGTATCACCATCATAAGTACCACGAGGTACGTGGCGTAGGCATATAAATATCATCTCCCTCACCACCTCTACTTTCGGTGTTCTCATCCTCTTGAATGTGACTTCCTGTAGTGTACTTATTACTTCCTTGTCCCAAGCATCAAAATATTTGCTCAAATTTCACTTCTAGGTCAGGTTCAATCCCTTCATCTTGAAATGCGTCAAATTTAGGGTTTTCCTACAAGTCAAAACAATAAAAAAAATTAGAGTAAATTCTATAATTGGTCCTTTATAACAGGGGGGTTTCCCTATTTAGTCTCTAATATCAAATATTACCCCAGTGGTCCTTCTTTTATGGGTACCTTTCCACAAATAGTCCTTTTTTGATCTTCTATCATGTTGGTGTTAATTTGAGGGCTAAAAGTGTAATTTCACAATGATAATATATCTTTTTTGTCATACACAATTCCAAAGGCTGTTCTGTTTGCGTCGTTTGTGAATTACAGTCGCTTTTTACGACAACGATAGTCTACAAATGTAATCTTTCGTCAGAATCCTAGCCCACAATCATAGTCATTATTTTTGTGTTATCCGCTTAACCAATATCAGAACACATCACTAGACATAATGTTGATGTCAAATTATACTTTTAGCCTTTAAATTAACACCAACACGGCAGAAGATCAAAAAAGGACCATTTGTGGAAAGGTACCCTTAAAAAAAGGACTACGGGAGTAATATTTGATAATAAAGAACTAAATATGGAAACCCCCTATTATAAAGGACCAATTATGGAATTTACTCAAAAAATTAATTGATGTAACTTATAAAAGATAATGCATGTTTTTACAAAACTAATAATGTATCTATGGTAGCTTAAAAACATATCGAACGTGGATTCTTAAAGCCCACCATTCAGCAAAAGCATCTATAGTCCCTTTTATATGATCCCATCCCAATCCTGGCCTCTAGCTCTTCTCTTAAGTTCTTTCCAAACAACCCACCTTCCTCTCAACCAATATGTTGGGAAAATGTTATTAGATTTTGATTATGATGTATGTAGATTGTAATAGGATCTTTAGGCCTCCCCCGCAATTCAATGTAATTTTTGTTTTCTTAGAAATCTTGTTAAAACCAAGCTCTTGAGTTCCAATAAAACTTGTGATATTTCGTCTTGAAATTTGAGCAACCATGTTTGAAGATCTGTCAATAATCAATGATATGGAAATCGGAAATCTCACTCGGAGATATCAAGAATGGAATTGAATCTCAAAGAAGATAACCGCTTCGGAATCCTAAAGTCCGAAAGACTCAAGTTCTACCCGGAAGTCTCACAGCCATCCGTGTAAAATAGGAAAGCTAGCGCTGTTTACTATTCCGAAGTTCTACACTTCGGAAGACTAGCACTAGCGTGGATCCTTCTATCTCTCAGAAGACTACATCGGATATCTATCTTACCCGGAAGTCTCAGCTCCACTTATCCGAAATTGTAAGAATTAAGAGCCGAATTTCTCAATGAACCAGAATTTTCGATCAACAAGTGAGAAAGACAAAGGACTTAGAAAGAAATCTAAGTCATGATTGAATGAATTCTATCCATTTCCAAGGGAAATTAACTCCTTGACAATCAAACGGCTAGATTGAAGATAATTCAATTGATTCGAGAACAAATGACAAGAGGACAAAATGTGGACTCATCTTATTAAAGAACTACAGTCTAGAATTCTCGAACAAATAGCTACAAGACAAAGCTTATGACAAAGGAATCTCTTCAAACAAAAAGCTTATGTCCAAGAAGATATTTCCAAGGACACTCCTCACACTCCCTTCATTCAAATTGAGGCCAGCAAACGTAAGTTTAATCTATTCCCTTCAACGGAGAGATTAAACCATCTAGCCACATATATATAGCTCTCACGAAGACTGAAGAAGATAGTACAATGCACTGAGAACCTAAGAGATATAACAATACGAGATAATCATCAACGCTTGAAAAAGAGAGAGTTCTAACACTCCTTTATCCAGAAGCAAACTTCTCCTTCCTCCAAGAGCTATAAGTGAAAATACTTGAAGGTCCCTTACCTCAAGTACAACACCAAGTTGAAGGAATTTTTAAGGAAACTTCTTGATTAAAATGGGGCACGTCAGTTTTCATACAAAATTATCTTGCAAGTCCTAGTGTTCGGATCTTGCAGTCGTTGAAGAAGCTTGACCTTCGAAGGAACAACACAACCGGCACGTGTGAAGTAGCAACATTTGCTTTGCGAAGATATACTGTGCTTTCACTATAGTATTTACTGGTTCACTTTCGGCAACAAATTACCCAATAGATTCCGAGGACGCAGAAGGATTACCCCACCTTCGAACCTCGTTAAAAGTTTGCGTGTTTCTCTCTCTTTAATTTTTACGTATTACTTAAGTGATTATTTTAAACTGTAGAACTAACCGATCCATACTTGATTACTGCTCATATACCCCACCAACTTCCGCACACTTAATCTAAGCTCTCAAGAACATAAGATTAAGAATGGTTGTTTCTCATCGACTCACATTTTAAAAAAGAACGAAATTTTTTTTAATTTGTAACAAAGTCTATTCCCCCCCCCCTCTAGACTTTGTACCTCACCACTTCGGGGACCATTAATTGGTATCGAGCCAACCTTTTCACTATCTACTTTTAGATTAATGAGAAACGATCAAAATGGTGAACAATATGGATCACTGTTTGCCCAAGTTTTCTCTTCTAGGTTATGATTATTGGAAGATTGTGATGGAAGCACATCTATATGCTCTGCATGACTGCATGTGGATGTGACTTGAAGAAGGGCCCTTAAAAATCCAGATGGAAAATCCTGAGAGGGATCCCAAGAATCCCGACGCGGTTCAGTATGTGGACAAGCCCAAGGATAAATGGGACGATCGAGACTGCAAAAAGCACAACCTCGACAATGTAGCAAAAGTATCCATCTTCAAGACACTTGATTCCATCACCTTCTCCAAGATCAAACACCTCAAAACTGCCATGGAAATATGGCAAGGTCTTGGAAAGTTGTGTGAAGTATCAGAAGATCTGCGAAAGCAGAAAATTGAAGTTCTACTTGAGAAGTTTAAGAACTTCAAAATGCTTCTTGGAGAAACATTCGACTTTGTTGGATGAAAGATTTCACAAGATTCTAAATGATCTTGTATCACTCAACCACATTCTTTCTCCAAAAGAAAAAAAATGTAAGATTACCCAGATCTCTTCCAGGTGAGTGGTACACCAAGGCCACAACAATGGAGGAAAGAAGAAATATGGACAACTACACTGTTCAAGGACTTCTAGACGAACTCAGAACATATGAACATGAGCTGGACAAGAAGAAGAAGGAAGAACAAGCCATTCCTTACACAACAGCATTGGAGACAAATGTCCGAGCCACAACCAGTGAAGGGACATGCCAGAAAAGCTGTGACACTCCTTCCACTAGCCAGCCGAGCTCAAAGAGAGAGAACTTTGAAGAGGAACTCGCCATGATGGTCAAGTAGTTCTGAAAGTTCAAGAAGTTGTTCATGAAGACCGACTCTATGTGAAGACCATCTAAGGGAAAACTACAAGTAAGTGACACTCCACCCGAATCTTACCTGTGTTATAATTGTAGAAAACCTGGCCATTGGAAGTCAGCATGTCTGTATCCCAAGGTGGAAAAGTACGGTGAAGGAGAAAGGAATGAGAAGAAGAAGAAAAAGGCATTGGTGACAAGTTTAGTATCTTGCTCAGTCATTCAAGCGGATGTGAAGTTACACAGGGATGTTTCACATTATTTTGGAGTGGCTTGGGCTAAGTAGAGACTGAATTCTGAGGTGTTGTGCAATAAGAGTAGTTAAGCTATGATGAAAGGTATGTTCAACTAGTCAGTAGTCAGACCAGTTATGTTGTATGGGTTAGAGTGATAGGCAATTAAGAATACTCTCATTCGTTGACTACATATAACGGAGATGCAGATGTTACGATGTGGATGTGTGTGCAAACAAGGTTGAATGGGGTTCAAAATGATATTATCCAAGGTCGGGCAGGCAATGCACTTGTGTAAGGTAAGATACGAAAAGCTGGGATGAGGTGATTTGGGTATGTGAGGTGGTAGAATGTTGAGGCCAGTGTCGAGATGCAAGAGGATTACATTAGTGGGGGCTAGTAGGGACAGGGACCAACCTATGAAGAATTTAAAGGAGGTGATTAGACGAGACCTAGGATTTCTTGCCTTTATTAAGGATATGAGCTCAGAGAGAAACATTTAAAATGGTTGTGTATGTGCATTGGGCTATGAGTAGTTTTCTACACTTGTTGTGTGCCTTAAAAGCTTGTATAACTTGCATGTTTGATATTTTTATTATTGGAGTACTATTCCTTTGTTAATTGTATTTTTTTTGCCTCTACGTGTTTGTTTCTTTATCTGTTTTCTTTGTTTTTATGTATCTTATGTGATGTTTTTATTCGTGCAACTTAAGTGGGGATTCTCTTGGGAAAAACCTCTTTACTTTCGAGTAAGGACAGGGTTTGCGTATACACGTACACTGTCCCTAGACCCTACTTTCATGGTACTCAACTAGGATATGAGCTCATATTAATGTGCAATATAAATAGAGAGCTATAGATGATTAAAACTTATCAATAGAAAGTCAAATTGGATGAATACATTGGGACATAAAGAGTATACTATGGAGTATTTATTTCATTGATGATCAAAGTTTATTTAGTTTATTTACAAAATATCAAATTGGACAACCACTGCACATTAAATTGAGCACAAGTTATACGGTACACAATGTTGTACCATATTTCTCATAAGTCGGTGTCAAATCAGAGCAGCGTTGCATTGATTGAATGGGAGCAGATCGAAACCTAGGTACATCGATCGTGGGGGGAGCCAATACAACGACGATAATAAAGCAAGAGAGCCGATCGAAACACTTTGTACATACGCCAGTGTTGATCAGAGAGAGAGAGAGAGGAGAGAGAGAAGCTAATCGACTGAAGTTGAGTTTTGCAACGGCGTTAAAAAATTTGAATCCTGGATGCAATGAAGATGAAATCGTGAAGGCGATAGTATGATTTTGGTGGTGGTGGTGATACCGTAAGTATTTCAAATGAACATTATGTTACTCGTACATAAATATTTTATATAATTGTAATGAACATTATGTATATTTTTTGAAAATAAATATTGTATTTTACAAAAATGAATATTTTATGGATATTAACAAAAAAAATATTCAAAAAAAAACATTCTACTCTCTCCGTCGCTAAATGGTTGATATTTCAAAACTACTCCCTCCGTCCTAAAACCATCTTCCCACTTCCCTTTTTTTCCTATCCTAAAAATACCTTCCCAACCCAAAAAAGGGCAGTGTAAGGACAAATATACCCTCCCTCTCATTTACGCCACACCTGCCCTTCCCTATTTGCATTTACACCTCCACGCTCCTACGCTCCTTCTCTCCTTCTTCGCTCTTCGCCTCCTCTGTCTAAACCCTAGATCTATCTATCCCTCTCTCTCTCCTTCTCCGCCTCTCTCAGCCTCTCTAAATTCATCGCCCTCTCTCCATCTTAACATCAGTACATCTTCCCTTATACCCTCCTCCGCCTACTCCAATGGTGGACTTCGAGTCGACGCTGAAGTCGTTCCTGGCAAAGCGCGCCAAGAGCTGCGACTTGCCGACGGCTGAGTCTCCGATCAGAACCACCTTGAGCACGTAATCGATCTTCTGGTTGAAGCCGCCACCGCCGCGGCTACCACCTCCGCCGTACATCCTCGACATCTTATGAAAATAGGCGAAGAGTCGCGAACGTTAGAGCCACCGGAAGGTTGTGAAATCCAGTCCGCCATGTGGAATTGAAAGGGACGAAGATTGTGTATGACGAATTGTCTGGGTGGAAATGTTGCCAGAGTTGAAGGGGTGAACTAAGCTGACTCGGTTGTCCGAGGCATTTGACTTGGTGGCGAATTGGAGAGAGGAAAATTTCCTTGGCGAATTGGAAAAAATTTTCCTTAAATTTTTACTAAAGGGCAAAATGGGAAGTCAAAGGTTAAAATATGAAGTCCTTAAAAATGGGAAAAAGTCAATGTGGGAAGGTTGATTTAGGACGGAGGGAGTAATATTCATTCTCATATAAAATAAAATGAATACCAAAAATAATTTGGGTGATTTCCCAATCAGTGAAGATTTGGGAAATGCATTCCCAAATGGTGAAGGTGTGTCTGACAATGTGCAAGGTGGTCAGATTTGATGCTTAACAACACTGGTAGTACCGTTAATTTATTTTTTTTAAATTAACGGTAGATCCAGTACCGTTAATCCTTGGGTTATTTATAAATATGAAATGTAATACTCCCTCCGTCCCCAATTTGATTACAAATTGCGGGTTAGGAGTTAATTTTTTTACTTTTTTGAAATAATTTTATTTACAAATTGGTATATAAATAAGATATAAAAATTACATAAAAATTACATAATAAAATTTCCTATTTTTTGTTAGGTGGATTGTATGGTGTAGGATGGTTAGTGGTAATAGATGTGATTTTTTTGTTAGGTGCATTGTATGGTGTATGATGGTTCACGGTGTTAGATTAGATTTTTTTATTAGATAAAAGCATTAAATTTGAACATTAATAAAATTTGAACATTAATAGAATTTTTATTCATTTGATGCACTACTACTGAAACTAAAAAGCATACAAATAAAACTTGTCATACATATTTAAAAATCCCACATTGAAATTTATAATTTAACTAAGTACTCCGACGATGTCTTCGTGCTCGCATATCCATATTATTTGTGAAGCGAGTGCTCACTGGCCGACCGGCCTGCGACCTTTGCCCTATAAATGGATGGACTAATTCATAACCAAGGGTAGGCCATTCAATTTCGTTTTGTAGTGGCATAACACTTCCAGAATATGCATCGAGGTAATTCTGAAGTGAGAACACTCGTGGAATAAGATCATCAACAGTAATGTTGCAATAACGACATACGGCGTAGACATGCACACATGGCATGTGCAATGTGGCCCATTTCCCGCGACTGCACATTTTTTGGCCCAGATGCACGACAATCTCATTTAATCTACCGGTAGCTCCAGCGTTGCCCTCAACAACGACCCAATAAATCCCTTGTTGCGGATGATGGGGGATAACATGGCAATGTAAACGATGGTCTTCCATGCGTCTCACCTCGTTCCAAATATATTTTGGGAACTTAAATCCCGCTTGTAGCCATGTAAATCCATTTGTACGCCTTTCTGCAAATAATTTTACTAATCGCTCATACGTCGTCTTCACAATAGCGTATACAAGAAGAGACCTACATCCCTTAAGCACATGATTGTAGCTTTCCGAAAGATTAGTGGTCAGGATTCCATATCGAGCCCAACCATCGGAATAGAGTGCCCACTTCTCTAATGGCAAAGCCAACAACCAGTCATATGCCTCCTCCTGTTGTGACTTAATTTGTTGCATTGTTCTATTGAATTCAAAGACATCTGGGGTACTGGCTGCATGATACATCAAGCCTTTTAGTTTTTTGCTATTGAACTTCTTCTGAAAATTACTTCTCAAGTGGCGCAGGCGATATCTCCTGATGACACGTTGTTCCAATAATTAGGGGATAGTATTAAAAGCTACATCAATGCCCCCGTGCCTATCAGAAATGATGCACACCGACATATCATAAGGTACTACATAATGCATTAAATGCATCATGAACCAGCTCCAACTATCCCCGTCTTCTTTGTCAACAAGGGAATAGGCTAAGGGGTAAATCTCGTGATTTGCTGTCATTGTTACTGCCAACAACAACACCCCCTTATATTTCCCATACAAGTGGGTGCCATCAACAGAGATCACGGGAAAACAGTACTTGAACCCATCTATAGACGCTTTGAAAGACCAGAACACGACACAAAAACTTGAAATAAGTCGTATATATCTTTAATGATGTACCTCACCTTGTAATCAGCATCAGCAGCAATTTTAGAGAATATAATTCCCGAGATGAGCTTGCTTGTAATAAGCTTATCGTCTTTCTCTTTCGAAAGGTCTGGTCTGCATAAATGTTGACTTCTATACTGTTTGACAGTCCAAACAGATGCAACCTCTGCAGCCTGGATGAGCCATGGACATTGTTCCGGATACGTGCACTTCGCCAGCCAATAATTGCACGCTTTGAAGAAGTCTGAAAGTGTCTATGCTCTGCAATATTGCGTAGCGCCACTGCAAATTGAAGGCTTTTGAAATCACCGTACCGATATCCAATCTGAATTTCAGGGATACGGAACGTTGGTTGTAGTGAGACTTCTTCAACGTGCCTAGGGATCGGAAATTCTAGAATTCCTTGTTCAGCAATGTTAATAGGCTCCTCTGTGTACACGTCCGGTGTGTACATAGAGACCCATCCAGATACTTCAGACTCATCTGAAGAGCTCTCTTGATCAGAATTAGCAACGTACGTCGGATCCTCAAATTCATCTTCATCATCCATGTCTCGTGCTGTGTTAGACGGCCCCGCCTCATCAACTTGGTGTTGGTGATGAACTTGGTGGTGATGAGCTTGGTGGTTTTGCTCTTCCTCCATTTCTTCTTCCTCGTTAGCCAACACTTCAACTTGGTGTGCATCTAGGTAAACCTCAAGTTCATCATATTCCTTCGTTGCCTTTTGAACGAAACACCTCCATGTTCGCTCCTCGGAAATGGGGAAAGGGCGTGAAGCAGCATAAACTCCATCCTTGTATTTGGAATATTTTCCCCAAATGTTTTTTATGGAATTGAGATTATCTTCACCAATAGCATCAAGGAGTTCATTGAAGACATCCTCGAATGAGATATCAAGATCAAAAACAAAGGCCTTATTTGAATGCAATGAGTACTCCACCTCATTGTTCTTGATCATTATCTCACCGTTCCAATGGGCTAGCAAGACAAAACTACCATCAGAGGCCATTTTTTGGTAAGAGGTTGTGAGAGAAGTGAGTAGATATGTGAGAGTAATGCTCGGTGGTGAGATTGTGAGAGTTAAGCAAGAAATATATAGATGGGATATTTTTTAGTTGGGTGGATTGAATGGTGTAGGATTGTTTGTAGTGTAATGTGAGATTTTTGTTTAGTTGGGTGGATTGTATGGTGCAGGATTGTTTGTAGTGTAATGTGAGATATTTTTTTTGGTGGGTGGATTGAATGGTGTAAGATTGTTTGTAGTGTAATGTGAGATATTTTTTTAGTTGGGTGGATTGAATGGTGTAGGATTGTTTGTAGTGTAGTGTGAGATATTTTTTTAGTTGGGTGGATTGTATGGTGTAGAATGGTAGTGTTAGATGAGATTTTTTGTTAGGTGGATTATATGGTGTAGGATGGTTAGTGGTATTAGATGAGATATTTTTTTGTTAGGTGGATTGTATGGTGTAGATAGGAGAGGGTTGCGACAATATTTTTTAACAATATTTTTTTTGTAGTGGATATGCATTAACAAATTTTTTAGGTGTAGATCGGATGGATATTTTTTTAAGTTAACGGTACAGCCAGTACCGTTAACCTATTTTTAATTAAATTTTTTTAAATTAACGATACAGCCAGTACCTTTAACCTATTTTAAATTAATTTTTTTAATATAACAATACTGGTTGTACCGTTCAATCCTAACAGCACTGATCAGGAATGCTTTTTTCTTTTCTTCACTGAACGGGAATTAATTCAAATAATTTTTTTGGTGGTATCTACAAATCTAAAATTCGGTACAAACTAGATGTATAGTATAATTTGCCCAGCAATGTCGTAAGAATAAGTAATTGAAACCCTAGGTACCAAGCAGGCTTCATTTTGTTTCAACATTGCCTCCTGGTCGTCGTGATCATAGAGAGGGATAGATCGCAGTCCCTTCCTCTTTTTAGCAGACAAACGAGCGAGTAGGCCATAAGAGAACGGAAACTGATGTCTATTGGGCCTTTCCCAATCTCCATCCGTAGCAGCATACAATCAAGCAGCGCAGCAACTCCAGATTCCAGCGAAGCAGACGCAACCAGAACCACCATTGCAGCTCCGCCTCAGCTCCGGGGCAGAAGTGTAGCAGACCAGCAGCTCCGTCTCCAGCACAGAGATTCTCACCAGCAACAGGCGCATCTTAGAAACGAAATAAGCAGAATCAGCGAAGAAAATCAGATTTGAACGACAAAAGCTCGGTAAACAAGGGTACATTGCTTAGTCCCTCTAGATTAGTTCGCTTTTCTGCAAGAATATAGGGTTTTCTAGTTGTATGTTGTTTCAAATGTGAGTTGCATTTACGTATTTTCTCAAATTCACAGTGATTGTTGCTGCGGCATTGTTTTCTGGCTAATGAGAATCTGGATCTGGTTTGTAAAGCTTTTCAGTTTATTTAGTATCAAACAAATAAATTTATACAGTTTAAGTTTATGATGTTCATGTTGATGTTGATTTTTTTTTATTTTATGTCTAAATTCAGCATGAGCGAGTAATTTCGTATGTGGTTTGGTCTATTGTGATATTGTGAATGGATTATTATTAGGCTTGTGAAACTGGATTTTTTGGCTGAACAGTGTTTAAATCAGATCTGAATTTGACAATAGAGCATCCACAATGGTAGCATCCCTCACTAGATGTTGAAGTGTGGAGTCTACTTTTAAAATGCCAATTGAACACCTCTCTCAACATCTAAACCTTTCAATAGTGGCATCTCATATGGATGCCTCATTTTATTCAATGAATGCAGTGGGTCCATATAAATATAATTATATTTTATTTTCTTAATTATAAGTATTTATTATATGATAATTTTTAATTAAGATTAATTATTTACTCGTTATTATTAATATTACCTTCTTCCTAGAATATATATCTAATTTTGACTTTTTACATTTAAATTAATAAAATTTGGTCTTTAATTAAATAAAACTTATACTCCCTCTGTCCCTAAATAAACTTCCACTTTCGTTTTTTCTTTGTCCCCAAATAAACTTCTCTTTTCCCTTAAAAACCCTCTTTTACCCCTTACTTTTTCATACCCTACCTATCACATCATACCTTTTTACTAATAATCTACCTATTACATCTTACTTTATATATCACATCAAGGGTATTTTTGGAAAGTCAACACAAAAATATCCCTCCCTTAAATCCTCAAAAAGTCAAAAATAGAACTTTATTTAGGGACGGAGGGAGTATTAGATATTGATATAAAATTAAAGTTCTTAGATTTATGTTGTAAAATATTTTAAAATGTTTTTTATGTAATTAATATATGATGTACTCCGGAGTAGTTAATATTGTTTCAAAACAAACATAAAAACAAATATCTAAGAAAATTTTCGAAATAAATAAAAAATAGTCATTCCATTAAAAAAGAGTTTGA